AGGCATTAGCTCTACTCAAGTTAGCTGTAAAATAAAGTAGGCCATCAGTTTTAAAAGACAACCCTTCTGAAAAGCCATGTGTTCCTGATCCTGAAGTGCACTCCAGCTCCAAGATGGTACTTGTGAGCATCACAGTTCAGTTTTTGGAAAGTAGTTAGCACATGTGAAGGTCAGATATTTAACATCAAGGCAGCCACAGCTTCCTCACTGAGTGTGGTCCAGCTACCCGTTTACTCTCTCAAAGAACATTCATTTGGTTATTTGGCAAGTGACCCAATAGCCATCTCAAATGGCCTTCAATTATAGGGAGTTTATTGACTCGTGTATTCAGAAAAGTCAGAGGGCGGGAGTCCCAGGGCCACTTTTATCTGATGATACCATTCTTCTCCCTAAGACTGTTTCTGTGCCACAGGCGCCGGTCCTCTGTTTCCCCACAGCCCTTGTGAGGGGGAGTCCTCTAGGAGCAGCAGGTGCAGCGAGTCCCAGGGCTGAACACACCTGCCTGCAGCAGGGCCAGAAGGGTGTGAAGTCACACAAAGCCACAGCGCTTTGCACTTAATGGTCCCTGTCATCGTCACCTCTGCTCTTGTTGCCTGCCAAGACCACATGCTAAGGTCCCACAGTAAACAGGGTCCCCATGAGTCGGGGTGCTGTCAGCAGCCCTGGAAGCACCGGATTTTGTGATAAGATTGGATACTTGAATGAAATTCTGAGTACTGTTAGCGGGATCAGAGGGGGCTCAAGGCTCGGGGGCACCAGCAACTGCTCAAGCAACTGAGGAAATTACAGCTCCAGACAGCCTTCACAGTGTGGGTGTAATGTGAGGTGAGAGGATGTCTAACAAAACTGTAAAAGCTAAATTACTCCAGGACCCTTGGCTGCTGATGGTTTACTAGCAATTATTTTCAGGGGACATAGCACAGCACTGCCCCGTGGCTGGCAGGAGAAATCAGTCAGTGTTGAGTGAGTGCTTCTCAGACACAGCAAGTCAGGTGTTCTGCAAACGGTTACAATTGGTGTGTTTGGTGTTCCATCAGTAGAGCTCAAAGAGAGGAAATGGACTAGAGGATCTGCGGGTGGTTATATGCCTGTATAGGAAGTCACTGTAGGGACTTGCCACTATTGGGCCCATGCTACACAAATGGGAATGGCAGGTGTCCAGCTTGATAGGCTGCATCCATTTCTCTGCCCCTGAACCTATAGAAGCCCCCCCCCCCCGCCCCAGTGCTGGCAGACCCCTCTTGCTGTATCAGCTCTCACCAGTGGCTTTCTACTCACTGCCTCCCTGAACAGCCTTCGTGCTAGTTCCTCCTGTCTCACAACCTCACAGGCTGGGCCTCACTCACTGCCTTGCCCAGAGGGCTCCCAGCTAGCCAAGAATGGTCCCAAGTGCTCACTGAGAAAAGGAATGTGCTCCATGCCTGAATCTGTCTGTGTGCACAGAACTTAAGGCCTCGCCTTTGGCCCGGCACAAAGGTGGAAAGGGAATTAAGCCAAGGTCAAAGAAGAGATTGAGAATGGCCACACTGCAGAACAGCTCTCCTTTCTGAGATCCGAGTGGACCCACATTTGGGGAAATACAACCGTTTTGAGACTCGGGAGCTTAAACCTGGACCCAGGTCCATGAACAGTACACAGACTAGAACTCTATTATGTATCCTGTTCCTGAGTGAGGGGGCCTGGGATGTTTTCACATTTCCTTCTCTGCACAGCAGGGTAGTAGTAGGTTAGAGTCAGAGGGCTAGAGAACTCACCCATGGAGATGGTCCAGCGCTGCACTGACAGTAGTACTGGTGGTCACCTATATTTTCTGTAGTATCCATATTTCTGTTTATAATTTCAGAAGTTTATGTAATAGTTTATTTCTACATCATTTTGTACATTTTTATTCTTTTTTCATCTCAATCAGGAGTTTATGTTTAAAAGAACTTATTTTGAAAACAAAGGTTGGATGTTATAAAATGTATTTGAAACAAATTGTTAAAATAAATTTCTAAAAACTGAAAACTTGTATACAATCTGTATGAATAAAATAATAAAGCTTACTTCAAGCATATAAAAGAAGACACAAATATGGGGATTGAACCAAGATGGCATCACAGGAGTTTTTGTGCTTCATTTCCAGGAGGATAATCTAAAAGTTAGCTTTGGTGTCAATGTAATCAGAGAGTCCTGTGACTTGGGACAGAGAAGGACATCTCTTGGACATCAGCATAGACAGCACCAGAAAGGAATTGAAGAGATTAATGTTTCGCCAAGAAGTGTACACCAAGAAGTGGGTAGAGAGAAATGCCTGGATGCTGTGGTCTAGTGTAGGGATGCCGCCATGGCATAGAGCTGAGCACACCCTTGACTGAGCAGGGCTACTCTCATCAGACTAGGTCCCCATTGAAAAGAGCAGGGAAAATGTGCTAGGCTCTCTTCCCCTGCCCTCACCCTTTGGGGCTGGTAATAACCTTGTGAAGCACAGACTGCAAAGATTCAGGCCTACACCTCCATGGAGGAGGGCTATCAGCATTGTCATAGACATGAACCAGCACTCGATTGTCCCCACATGTTCAAACCAGAGGTTGGTCCCAGTCAAGACTCTCTAAACCCCCTTAACTCAGCAGTGATGAGATCAGGCTGTTGGTCCTATGGGAGCGAGAGAAGACTGACGTCTAAATTCACGTAAAACTAGTTTCACCTGCTGGAAAGTAAAGAGCAGCAAAATGGGTATAAAACAGTACAAAACACAACACCTCAAAACGTCAAGACAATCTATCATCACAAAGAAAGGACAACACAACAATCCTGTCACAGAGAAAGGAAAATTTTTATCTTCCTACTTCAAAATTGCCATGATAAAGAAATGAAAACATAGAAAATCAAGTCAAAGTGATATAAGAAAGCTCTGAACAGCTAATTAAAAGAGCTTGAACAAAATTTAGAAAAATAAATGAATGACATGAGAAATAAAATTAGTGACCAGAAAACGTAACTGAAGCTTTAAATAAAATGACAGATGTGGGCCCTCCCTGGTGGCGCAGCGGGTTAAAGCACAGCACAAAGAAGCTTAAGCCACTTCCGCATGAGTTCGATCCCCGCCTGCCCCAGAGGTAACCACATGGCGAGGCGGACCTCTCCTGACCCGCCCGCTGCTCCCCTCAGCAGTGTACTTTGTTGATCTGCCTGTTCTGCTCCCTGCTCTGTCTCTGGTGAAGCCTCTCACCCTCTGCATCTCTGGCCTGTACCCCAGTTCTGTGTGAATAAATAAAATAAATCTTTAAAAAAAATGACAGATATGCAGGATATAAAAAGATTTTAAAAAGGAGATAAATAAGTAAACCTTTTTTTAAAAAAGCAATGAAAGTAGAATAGACTAAATACATGGTTGATTAAGCTCAAAGGTAATTATTCACAAAGGACCTAGAAAGAGAAAGAGAAGATGAGTAGAAGAAAGAGGAGTACAAAGAAAAGAAAGAAGAAGCATTTTGAGGGCTATCTGATGTCATTGAGGAAAGTAGAGTAAGGATAATGGGTATTTCAGAAGGGGAAGAGAAGGAGAAGGGAACAGAGAACTTATTCAAAGAAATAATAGGTGAAAAGTCCCTAAACCAGGGAGAGAGCAAAATGTACAGGTACATGAAGCTAAAAGAATACCTGGCTACCTGAATGTAATGGGACTTACAGCAAGACAGATACTTAAGAAACTACTGGAAAGTTCAAAACAAAGAAAATTGAAGGTGGCTAGGAGTTAAAAATCAGGTAATGTGTCAGTTTACGCTGTCAGGCTTGTATCTAGCGTTTCTGGGGAAACCTATGAACAAGAAGAGAGGGAATGATGTATTCAAAACAATAAAACTTAAAACTACCAGCCAAGAATACTATAACCAGGAAGACTCTCCTTCACATGTGAGGAAAAAAAAAAAAAAAAGGCCTCCTCCAACAAATTGAAGCTGAAGGAGTTTGCAGACACTGGAGAACTCTTAAAAGGATGAAAGGATCTCTTCTGTCTAAATCAAAGAGAAGAAAATCCACAAGAAAGTGAAGAGGGAAATAAATAGACACAAAACTAAGACAAAATGGCTGTAGAAAGTCCTTATATATAAATAATCACCCTAAATGTCAATGAGCTAAACTCCCAATCAAAAGGTGCTGGTTGGAGTAGAAAATGAAACCAAACTATCTCCAGGAGGCACATTGAAAACTCAAAGTTAACCTCAAAGTAAATGGTTGGAAAACAGTCCTACAAGCAAATGACCCTCCAAAAGGCAGGAACAGCCATCCTTATATCAGAAAAAAACAGAGGTGGGGTGGGTATTTATATACTGATTAAGGGATCATTGGATCAGTAAGACAGAACACTCATCAATCTGTGTATGTACCAAACAAGGAGCACCAAATTATATAAGATGACTATTAACAAACCTGAAAACAGGCATTGGCAGCCACAAAATAGTAGGGGACTTCAGCACCCCACTTTGATCAATGAACAGATCATCCAGATAGAACATCAACAAGGAAACAATAGCCTTAAGGGAGGGATTACTATGCAGCGTAGTTGATATTTATCACGCCCTTTTCAAGTGCACACGGAGCATCCTCAGGGATAGACTATGTGTTATTCTGTAAAACAAATGTCAAGAAATTCATGGAGATGGACATGACACCAAGTACCTTCTCTGATTGTCATGTTAACAAACTAGAAACCAGCCACTCAAATAAGCAGGAAACCTCTGCTGTGAGACTAAATAACACACTACCGAGTGACTATTAAATTAAAGAAGACATCAAACAATACCTAGCGACAAACCAAAAAGAGACAATCTACCAGAAGTCATAGGATGAAGCTAAGAGGAAAGTATGTAGCAATAAAGTCCAACATCAGAAAAAAGAAAGAATTCAAACAGTCTAGCCTTAAATCTTAAGGAACAAGAGTAAGAAGAAAAAACAAAGCCAAAAGCCAGTAGAAGGAAGGAAATCAACTTTCTATTAAGAGGCTTTTTATTATCTTTCAGTGTTTACCAGGATACCTGACGATTCAGATCCGCACGGTCTTGTGCATTTTCATAGTGGTCTTAATCTACTCTGTAGCCCAAGGTTGGGTGGTGAGTACCTCTGACCCTTGGCAGGGCTGGCGTGAGGAGGGCTGAGCAAGTAATAAAGGGGATGAACTTTGGGGAGCCTGGCTGGGGCCCAGGCTGTGGAGGGGGAGGGAGACATGTGGGTGTCAAAGATGGTCTGGATGCCCAAGGAAAACAGTGGAGGGCATCTCCTGGTAAAGAAAGACCCTGCAGGAATAATTGCATGGAGCTGGGGCAGGGGTAATGAGAGGAGTAGAATAGGAATTAGGAGGGTTTAGGTACAGGAATAATGGGGGTGCTGGGGTGGACGTGGAGCTGGGTACTTCAGGCAAGATGGCGGAGGCGTGTTCCCTTGGCCCCGCTCTTTGAGATCCTCCGAGGAGCCTTCAGGACCATGAGCAGGCAGAAGTGTGGGAGCCTGCTGGTGGCACCTAGGGGAGAGGGCAGGGGACTTCCTAGGTGTGACTGGAGTGCTAGGAAGCCCTCTCATGCCCCCCTACCCTTCTCTCCACAGGTGGACTGCCTGTCGAGGGCCTGGAACTCCAGTGCCAATGCGTCCCTGCCAGCCCTTTCCTCTGATGGTTGGGACCCAGTGCCGCCCTGCGAGTCAGTTCCCCATGCCCTGCTCTGTGGCCTTGTGGCCACCCTCCCTCTGGCCATATTTCTGCGGGTCTCCTCCTTGCCAAAAATGATCCTGCTCTGTGTGCTCACCACATCCTACATCCTGGTCCTGGAGCTCAGTGGATACACGAAGGCTGTGGGGTAGGTGTGCTGCTGCCGCCAGCACAGACCACCTGGACCTGTCTGGGTGTGACTCGGAAGTCCATCAGTGTGCTGCTCATTTTGTCCAAAACTCCAGCAAGACCTGGAGTGCCCGAGGAGCTGCGACTCTTAGCTGGGGTTGCCCTGGGTACCCTGTGGGTGTTGCCTCTGAGGGACACATTGAGTGCATTCCATGATGCAGCGTTGGTGCTGACTTGGGTTCTCTTTCTTCTCACCCCCAGAAGTGGCACTGTCTCGGGGCACAGCTTTGAGCCTATTGTGGCCATCCTGCTGTTCTCATGTACGCTGGCCCTGCACGCCCGGCAGGTGGACGTCAAGCTCAGGCTGGACTACCTCTGGACTGCTCAGGCAACATAAACCTTTTCTGCTTTCTTGGGAGAGGAGTGGTGAAGGGAACCTTGGGGTCTGATATAGGCCCAGGGGTTGGGGGAGCCTCCTGACTAGTCATGTGGGAGACACCATCAGGGTAAGGAAGCTTGTGTTGGATGAGAGCGGGCCCCACAGGAGGTAGTGCTAAGAGATGATGGTACACAGGAGAACCCTCTCAGATGGTCAGACCGTGCTGGTTTTGAGAGAGCAATGAGTCCCCTGCCTTTAATGGTCTCCAGCAGAGGAGTGGGGCTCAGCCTTGGCTGAAGTTGGTGTGACAGCAGGTCTCACTGGGTCACAATAAACTCCAGAAAATGGATCCTGACCGCTCATCCGGATTTGGAAGGTCTGTGATGGGGGCTGGCGATCTTTACTTATCACAAGTATGCTGGAAAATTCTGACACCAGGGTGTAAGGACACTACTGTGGGCAGCTGAGGATATGGACACAGTGCACTTTCCCTGGGCCCTTCCCTGGGGGTGTAGGGGTAGTGTCCCTTGAATGAAGAGGTAGGGAGTGGCTGAGGGGGTGTGCCCCCTGGGAGGGACAGAAACTTGTTTCCCTTCTAGTTTATTTACCCTGGAAAATGCAGAAGTCAGCTAGGCTGGTTTGTGTTAGCACATCAAGACACACTGCATATTCAGGATCATGAAGAGTTTTGTTACTTTGGGTCAATAAGAGAGAAAGTGTGCATTGTGAGCGTGTTCTATGTGAACCTGTATATGCACACACAGACGTACTAACTGTATTTTTAATAACAACTTCAGTGAGATAGAATTCACATTCCATACAGTTCACCCATTACAGTTTTATAGTTCACTGATTTTCAGTAGGTTGAATTGCATGGCTATCAGCACAGTCAGCTTTGAACATTCAGCACAGTCAGCACAGAACATTCTCACATCTCCCAAAAGAACCCCAATATCCTTAGCAGTCACCCCATGTTTCTTCTCACCCCCTATCCCTAAGCAGCCACTAATTTACTTTTGATCTCTGGATTTGCCTATTTCATCTGTTCTTGAGTTTGTATATTGCTGGAGCTGTACTGGGCAAAGACCCCATCCAGTGTTTGGCCAGTGGGAACTTGAACCCGGTCTTGCTAAAGGAGCCTTTCCCAACGTGTGAGGGGGCTGGACACCTGCCCTGTCCTCACTGCACACCTGAATTCTGTATTCAGGGCAGTCGGGAGCTGCTGAGATTCTGAGCTCCATAACCTCTTACCTGTGAGGAAGGTATGCCCACGGTGACTTCCCTGGACAGCGTGGGCCTGTTTCAGGCTGGTGGCACCTCCGGTGGGGACAACATGAGGGAACAACCTTGATCTGTGCCCCCCTGAGGGACTCAGGCTGCTCTGGCTGAGCAGTCATCAAGCATGAATGCTCAGCTGCAGCCGGATGTGAGCTTATATGGGCATTTTTCTTGGGCAGGGGTGGTCAGTGGCCCCAAACCCAAAAGAGCAGGATCTTGCCCCTTTCTCCTGAATGCAACTTGACAGTGGAGGATGAGGAAGCAGGGGCAGGCACTATGGGGGAACACTCGCAAAGTCACAGGGACCGCCAGGAGGGTGTCTCAGAAGGGGCTCTGTGGGTCCAGCCATGGTTGGCCATAGGGCAGGGAGTGTGGTAGGAGTGGGGTTGGCCTTAGGAATGCTCACTCAGGGGGCGCAGAAAGCAAGGGGGGAAAGGCACACTGGTAGGGGGAGATCCACACTACTGACAGTGCTCAGACCATCTGAAAGGTGGGACGAGAGAGGGCAGCCCCGAGCTGGTGCAGTGTCCATGACACCACCGCAGACAGTCCCTGCCTCAGCCCTCAGGGACAGGAGAACAGTCCCCACAACCTGGAACAGGGTGGGCCACCAGGCAGGAATCAGAACCTTCGGCCACAGGGTCGGCTGTGCCAGGGTGCAGCATGCTCTCCAGTGCTGCTGGCGCTCCCCATGGGCCTCCTTCTTGGGCAGGGGTGGTCAGTGGCCCCAAACCCAGGCTGGATCCCACCACTCACTCCTGAATGCAACTAGGCAGTTGAGTCTGAAGGGCGCTGGGGCAGGCACCATGGGGGAGCACTCACACAATCACAGGGATGGCCAGGATGGGGTTGTGCCAGGACACAGCATGCTCTCTCAATGGCTGCTGGTGCTCCCCACCACCTGCACCCAGATATAAGCAGTCAGCAGGGGGCCTGATGGCAGAGACCTCCCAGTGGGCTGGGTCAGAGCAGATGCCAGTGGCGGAGGACAGCACATACTGTTCCTGGAAGGGAGAGCTGGCGGCTGCACTTTGCTATAGCCAGGCCAGGTAGCAGACAGCCCTGGGCCACAGAACTTGTTCTTGTTGGCCTCTGCTGGGTGTCAGGGTAACCAGACTGCTTGGTCATGAGCTGTGTCTGCCAGCCTCCACCTGACCCCCGAGGTTCAAGAACGTTCAGTTATCTCCTCAGAGCTTGAGAAGAAGGAACTTAGGATGAGCCTGGGAGACGCGGTGTCAGCTTCTCCTCCTGGCACCTGCTCCAGTCCTCACATTCAGAGTGGGCCTGAGGCTCTCTCCCAGTTAGGAGCCCGTGGGGAAGTCTTTCCCTCTGGTTTATAGGGGTTTTCTTGGGCTTTGTATCCCCTTAAACATTGGTAAATATAGTAGTTCTCGCTGCCCTGCAATTCACCAAGGGCACCTTTTGCCTTCTGTCCCCTCCATGAGGTACACTCCACAGAGAGATCAATGCAAGGGAGAACCTCTGTGGTATGGGGGGCGGGGTGGTTGTCCTCACAGAACATACTGACATATTTTTCCATGGCGACGTAACAACAAATACCACCTCACTTTCCCGCAAAACTAGCAAAACAAGCACCTTCTAGACTTTGCCCCGTTTGCACTCTGGGTATTGAAGTGGGTCGTGCAGACATGGAGTGCCTTACACTGTTGCAGAATATCCAGGCTAGAGACTTACTTGGTAGGTTAATTATTTACTGAGACCAGGCAGGTTGTTTACATTGACACAAATAGTGAGCTTCTCCCTGTGGAAACTTCCTCAACCTTTTCCTCTGTGACTCTTGGAGTGTTTTCATTCTAGTGTCATTTTTGTTTTTAACCGCAGGAGATAATTACGATAATGGGTTTACTTGTAACGAAACAGTTTAGTTATCTACCAATGAATGCTCCACCCAAGGTGATTCTCTTTGTCCAGCTGCTCTTAGGTTTTAGAGAGAACAGCACAGAGGAGGAGGGAAATCAGCAGGGAAACCACCCCTCTCCCTCCTCCAGTCTCTCTTCCTGCACTCATCTGATGGTGACATGGCCCTGGGCTTTGAAGGCTGGAGTTACGCAGTCAAGGTCCTGCTCCCATCTCTGAAATGCTGTGTCATTTCATTCTCTGTTTCTGGCCCTTGCTTGTACCTCTAGGGCTTGGTGTGAGCACCTCCCAACAAAGCCTTCCCTGGAACAGTGTGTCCAGCTCTTTCACAGTCGTGTTCTGTGGCACAGTGCCCTGAACATACCCTTGGAACCCCACGTCCATGCTGAATTGCAGGGCTCTGCGTTCTGCAGTGTCCACACATGGGAACCCAGACTCTCTACTGCTCTAGGAAGTGCACACTCCATCTGTGCACCTGTGTACATCTGGTTCATCCTGCAGGTGCTTATTGAGAACCTGCACTACACCACACCCCAATGGGGGCACCTGTGTGTCCATAGAGTATAGCCTGGCTTTAGGTATCCAGAAGCAGTTAAAAATCGTATTCATCAATTACAGAAGACGCTGGTACAGCCATGGACATCCATAAGAAGGAGACACAATCCTGACCCTCCTCCATGGTTGACAACATTGGCCTCTAGTGATAATACCTGACTTGGATGGGAAGACTTCAGAGACAGCCAGGGGAAAGTGGCGGTCTGTCAGGAAGGGGTATGTGTGTGCTTCTACAGAGATGGTGGTTTTTGAAGTCTGTGGACGCAGTGAATTACTTTAAAAAATGACTCAGTAAATCCTGTATTCCCAGGATAAGCCTCGGTCATGACAATACCAGTTTTGTAGATTGCTAACTGTAATGTGCTAAAATTTGATTAGGATATTTTCATCTATACTTATGAATGTAACTAGTTTTCTTACAATATTTAGACCAGGCAAGGTTTTGATGTCAGAGTAATATTCAGGTCTCATGGAATGAGTAGGGAAGATTCCTTTCTCTTCAATTTTCTGGAAGAGTTTGTGCAGCAGTATTATTTCTTCCTTGAATGTTTGGTGAAGTGACCCCTCAGTCTGAGTTTTTATTTACTAATAAATTTTATTTACTAGTAAGTAAATAATTTTTATTAATTTATGCACTTATATTTAGAAGGGAAATTTTCATTAAAAATTTTATCTTTCTAATAGCTGAGCTATTCAGGTTTTCTAGTCCTTTTTTTTAGGTGCTTTTGGCAATTTATATCTTTCTCTGGAACTTGATGATTTTATTGACATTAAACTGTTTATGTATTGTCATATAATCCCTTTAATATTTATAGAATCTGTAGTGATGTCACCTCTCTCTTGCCTGACATTAAGAATGTGTAGACACTTTCTTTGATCAGCTGACTAGAAGTTTGTACACTTTATTGATTTTCTCAAGAACTAGTTTTGGTTTTATTGATTTTTCTTTTAATTGTTTTCTATTTACCTTATCTATGTTGTTTATTTTTTCCAATTACTTGGGTTTCAATTTATTATTTCTCTAGTTTCTCAAGTAATTTGAGACAGTCTTTTGTCCTTTTCTATTGTAGACATTTTGTTAAAAATTTTTCCCCTAAGAGCTACTTTACTGAGTCCCACAAATTTTGATACTATGTGTCATTTCATTTTCATAATTTGTAATTTCATAATTATATAAATTTTATAATTTTCTTTTTGAGTTCTTCTTTGGATCTGAGTTAATCAGAGGATTCTCTTTTTGAGAATTTCCCAGAGATCTTTCTGTAATTAACTCCTCATGAATTATACTATGGTCAGAGAACATGATTCCTATGACTTGAATTCTTGTAAGTTTCTTGGATTGCTGTGTCATCCTGCAGAGAACTTTCTCTTAGTGTATCCATGTACCTGTGTTAATAGGCTGTACATGTCTGAGGAGGTCTCTAAGTCTCTCCTGACACTTTTCTTTCTGTAAAACTGTGTTGCTGAAATTAAAACCACAATGAGATACCACCTCACACCAATGAGAATGGCACATCATAAAACAACTAGCAACAACAAATGTTGGTGAAGATGTGGAGAAAAAGGAACTCTCCTGCACTGCTGGTGGGGATGCAAACTAGTACAACCACTATAATAACTGTTTGGAGGTTCCTCAAACTGCTTAACATGGAGCTTCCATATGACCCAGCAATCCCACTCCTAGGTATCTATCCAAAAGACACAAAAACACTGATTGAAAAAGACACCTGCACCCTCATGTTTATTGCTGCTTTACTTACAATAGGAAAGACATGGAATCACCCCAAATGCCCAAAAGTAGATGACTGGATTAAAAAGATGTGGTACATATATACAATGGAATATTACTCAGCCATGAAAAAGATAAACACATGCCTTTTGCAGCAACATGGATGGAAGGGATCATGCTTAGTGAAATAAGCTAGAAAGAAAAGGAAAAATACCAGATGTTTTCACTCATAGCAGAAGTATAAAGGACCAGGAGAGAAAATAATGATAATAATGAATGAACAACTATATACCAGAGACATTTTACGGGGATGGAGTGGGGAATAGGATCAAAAATTGGGGGAGGGGTGGGAAATTGCACTGGACTATGGTGATGGCACATGGGTGAATTGGTGGTGGGGAAGCCCATGGGGATTGCAACTGAGATGGAAAAAGGCACAAAATGATGTAAAAATAAACTACTATATTATTTAAAAAATAAATAAATAAAAAACTGTGTTGCTGAACCTGCATTTGAACCAGATCATGGTCACGGCCATGTCTGCCTGTCTGCAAAGTCTCTCAGTAGACTGCAGAGGAGGTGAAACCTATTATGTGATTAGTCTCCTTGATACCTAATGGCTCATGTGTAACACACCTGGTTGTTTTTCAAAAAAATGTTCCTAGAGAAGTTCCAGGGGATTCTAGGATGGGCCCAGCCATGGGGCCATGTGTTGAAAGCTATTCTCATGCCTGGATCCTATAGCCTGCGGTCTCCTTGTGCCAAACTTTGGGGATCCGCTGTTCTTTATTTGGTCGAATCTCCACATGACATTTAGCAACATGTGTCCAACCATCTCAACTGTCATTGTTGCAGTATTCATGCCATACATAGATGGACTTTCAGGCTCACTAGATAGCACATGCTCTCCTAGTAAGTAGAAATGGGCCCTCAAAAATAGTTATTTGTAGACCCTTTTATGATGAGGCATTCAGAACATGTACCACAAAGTGGTACATGAGCCAGGAACGCTGCCTCTAAGCCATGGCCACAGGATACCATGGAGGTGGGGTGGGGTGGGCATGACTGCCTGATTGTTCCACATTCGAAAGTTTGGTAGCCTGTAGTGCTGACGCACATGTAGAAATGTTCCCCAAACTGACCTCCTTTCTTGGGTCAGGCTTTTTGCCAGGTGGGAAAGCCAGGGTAAACTATCTCAGTGCCTATCTTTTGTGAGGGCACAGGCAGCTTGGACCCTTGGCCAGCAGTGCCTTTTGAACTGTAACAGTGGTTGGTTGCATTACTATCTGCAAGGCCCAGGAGCTAAGAGGTCAGCAGGCTAGGACTTGGGTGCTCCCGCTGACCTTTTACCTTGCTCCAGGGAGTCAGTACTTGCTTAGCTCCCTAAGACACTCGCAATGTTTTGCTTGTCTCAACACCCAGAAAGATGTGAATCCTGGCGGGCTGCTTCTAGAAGACATGAGCTCAGGAAGGTGCTCACTTAACCTTGGGCATCTGCAGAGGTATAAAGTGCAGGCCCATGAGTGCTCTGGAGCAGGTACTGCCTGGGGTCAGTGTGCAGCCTGAGGAAGGGCATGTGCCTCAGAAAAAGCTGCCTCCAATATTGGTCCTCAAAAGGTGACCAGGGAAAGAACCCTAGAAAAGAGAGGGAAACCCCCCCACTCCCCAGCCCACTATTGCCTGTCCATTGAAAGTTCCAGATAACTGGATTGTGAATTGTCCAGAAATCTGTGTATGAGCTTGCTTCTGTGATACTTCTCTAGTGAATGCCTGGTGAGGGCTGAGATACACTACTGTAGATCACAAGCATCCTTGGAAGTTAGTTTGGATGATTAGAAAAAGGATGTGTTGGGCCCTCCCTGGTTGTGCAGCAGGTTAAAGCACAGCACTGAGAAGCTTAAGCCACTTCTGCATGAGTTTGATCCCCACCTGCGCCAGAGGAGATCCACATGGCGAGGCAGACCTCTCTTGACCCGCCCACTGCTTCCCTCAGCAGTGTGCTTCATCCATCTGCCTGTTCTGCTCCCCACTCTGGTGAATCCGTTCTGTATGAATAAATAAATAAATTTTTTAAAAAAAAAAGAAAGAAAAAGGATGTGTTAAAGGGAATATTAATCAGGATTCATTAATGAGCCTTATGGCAGCTATTACTCTGGGCCATTGGGAGAGATGTGGGGATTTCTGCAGTGGGGTTTGCAGTGGGAGAGAGATGGGCTCAACCCAAGGACAGCAGGGGCAGGTGGTTTTATGGTCAAGGAAGTGGGGTGTCAGTGGACAGCAAAGTACCGGGAGACATCAGGAGCGAGGGGGCGTTCTAGCTAAATTGGCCTAAAAGGTTTCTGTTGAGAAGAATTCAGGGTGGTCTGATGACACCTGCAGAGGTGGAAGCGGGAAAATGAGGAATCCCATCAGATATCAAGGGGATGATGTCAGGGATGGCTTAAATGCCCAAACAGGTTTTCTTGCTGAAACAGATGATACATAAATGAATGTGGACCCAGTGGAGGGAGGGCTTTCAGGGGCCTCGGTCTAGTCCAGCCCAGAAGAACCTGTCACCTGTGCCACTGAGTGAGTAAAGGAAGATGGGTGGTGAGTAGGAGACTAACGGAAGTCTTACTCTCCAGGCAGAGGAGGAGCGGGACGACATGGAGCGGGTGAAGCTGGACAACAAGAGGATCCTGTTCAACCTCCTGCCAGCCCATGTTGCCCAGCACTTCCTCATGTCCAACCCCCGGAACATGGTGAGCATGTGGCCCCATGGCACATGCCCCCGCGTTGCTAGGATCCAGTGAGGTGCTTGCCAGGCTGGCTGATCTGGTGGGCGTTCTGGGTTTGCAGCCAGAGCTTGACTTTAACCCTCCCTTTACTTCTCTGCCTTAAGTTGCAGTTGTGGCGGATTTTGGACCTGCGGCCTTGTCTCATCCCTAAGGGCTGGCTGGCTGGGCCGTGGGGAGGCTCCTGAGACAAGATGCCCAGAATTAGTGTGTCCTCTCTGATCCCCAGGGAGAGCACAGCCCTCCTCACCGCCGGGAGGATCTGGCTTCCGTAAGCCATCGTTCAGTGCCGTTTGAATGGGTCAGATCTTCCTGATTGCGGGGTCCTGCTGAGTAAAGCTCTGAACCACCCTCAGCACAGAGCAGAGTTCTGCTTGGAAGTTATGGTTCAAAACCATATTTTGGTCAGCTTTGTAGGTCCTCAAGGCACAAATGAAACTCCAGGTCTCCGTGTGACCTCCTTCCACCCATAGTAGCTCCTGGAGCTCATCTGTCATTGTTTGGGCCTTGGCCTCCTTGAGCAGGCTGCTTTCTTACATCCCCGTATCCTTCCCGGCAGCCTCCCCTCCCCTCTGTCTGTACCTGAGGTGGAAGAAGATCTAGTCTCAGAGCCCCTCAAGTCCCTATTCTGGTGGCTCAATACCCCCAGTCTTTCGGGCAGAGCTGCTGGCCAGTCCAGTCATGTCTGAGGACCCCACAGCCACCCAGCACCCTGAATGCTGCTCACCCTCCTCACCTGACCTTTGGCTCCCCAGGACCTCTACTACCAGTCATACTCGCAGGTGGGCGTCATGTTCGCCTCCATCCCCAACTTCAATGACTTCTACATCGAGCTGGATGGCAACAACATGGGAGTGGAGTGCCTGCGGCTCCTGAATGAGATCATCGCCGACTTCGATGAGGTAAGGGCCACTTCCTGTGTGGGCCCAAGGATGGGGGTGCATTCTGGCGGGGCTGAGGGTGACTCTTCTCCTATATTCTGGTGAGCAACAGTCACTTCTCTATGGACAGAACAGGGTGAAAGCATGGCATTTGTCTCCTTGGAAATCCAAGCTGCCCAGGGCAGTTCAAGAAGAGTCTTTGCTGAGGGTGAGGGGCTGGTGGCTGGGCAGGCTCTGGGCTCTGGAGGCTGAGTGCTGGCCCTGCCCTCTGTTTCGTGAATGTCAGGGCTGGGTGGCCCACCTACTTGGACGTGGCTCACTTTCTTTGGCCCCCACTCTCCTCCCGAGTTATCCTGAGATCTGCCCCTGGAGGACAGGAATCTGCTCTGCATGTCTTGTCTCCTGTCTCAGACTCACGCCCTTGCCCAAGCTCCTCCAGCCTCCATTTCTCAGTTTAACCCTAGTTCTCCGCTAGTGCCCCAAACAAAGAAGACATTTTCAGAATGTGCTTGTCTGCTTTGAGGTTACTCTCGGTGACTGATAACTACAGTGATCTGTCTAAAATGTTATGTAATGTTTAACAGTTTTGTGTTTTAAACAAAGCTCATGGAAAAAGACTTTTACAAGGACTTGGAGAAGATCAAAACCATCGGGAGCACCTACATGGCTGCGGTGGGGCTGGCTCCCACGGCCGGGGCCACGGTGAGTGCTGGCAGGGGAGCTTGTCCAGGGCTTAGTCTCCAGCTCTGCCCTAAACGGCCCTGGGACCATGGACAGCTTCCCTACTCTGGCCTTGGTTTGCCCTCTGTATTGCATGCAGGCTGTCAGTGGCCAGCTCTCTCAGACCCAGGGAAAGTCAGTTCAGTGAGCAGTCACAGATGCCTTCTCCTGCCCTGACCCTTCTCCATGGACTCTGCCCTTTTCTACCAGGTCCCTTCTCAGCGGCCTCACCCCCCTCCACATCAGTTTCCTTTTATTCTCACCAGCCTACCCCTGCTCTGCCAGCCTAGCATTCCTAAGCGTTTCTCCTTCCCAATGCAGAATTGGGAGTAAGGTTTTCAAGTTACTGCTAACAAGACAGGAAGATGTTAAAAAATGCAATGAATGGAGAACAATTATAAATATGGTAGATAGTAAAACAGGTACTAAACCAACTGTATCAATAATTATTCTCCATGTAAAAGGCATGTATACCAATTAAAAGACAGGCGAATATTAAAAAGATCCAGCTAGGTTTTCTCCAGGAAACATACTTTAAATATAAAGACACAGATCTTTTACAAGCAATAGAATGTAGAAAGAGATACTATTCTAGGACTAATGAAAAAAAGAACTCAAGTAGCTAGCTTAATTTCAAAGAAAGCAAATTTCAGATCAAGGAAAGTTTTAGAAATAAAGCATGAAGGAGTCAATAGTGCAAGAAGTCATAACAATTTTCAGTGTTTATGAACATAAAAATATACATGAGGCTAAACTTTTAGAACTGCAAGGAAAAATAGCTGAATCCATTCTACAGAGACTTGTCAGTGATTGGTTGATACAGTGAACTGAAAATCAGGATAATTGAGCTGAACAGCATCTTAATCAAATGAGTATAATTGACATTGTCTAGGTACTTTAACAATAGAACATTCTCCATTTGAAACTTAAAAAAGATGTTTTCTGAGACAGACCAGTTTCTGAGCCATAAAACACACCTTAACAAATTTGAAAGAATTTAAACTACTGTAAAGTAGGTTCAGGATTAAACTAAAAATGTATTGTTGATAAGAAATCACTGGGAAATTCCAAAATATTTGGAGATTAAGCAGTATATTTCTAAATGACTTGTAGGTCAAAGAAGTCTCAAGAAAATGTTAAAATATTTTAAAACTAAATGAAAATATAATTTAGCACAATTTGTGGAATGCAGAAAAAACAGAGCTTAGAGGGAAATTTGTCATTGTATTTATAGAAAAGAACACCAGTAATCTGAATATATTTCTTATAAAACTAGAGGAAGAAGAACAATATAAATTAAAAGCAAGCAGGAGAAATAAATGCTAGAATGCAAATCAGTAAAGTTGAAAAAAATTAAACCAAATCTGGTTCTGTTTATAAAATTTATAAACTCTAACCCTGTTAAACAGGACAAAAAAAGATAAGGTAAGACTTATTAATATTTAAAATGAAAAGTAGGTTATTTCTACTGAACTAAGGACATTAAAAAGATTAAAGGTTACTTTTTGAACAATTCTCTGCCCAAAAATTTGAGAATTTGCATGAAATGGACCAATTTCTTGAAAGATGACCTAACAGAACTCATGCAGGAGAAATACTGTTAAAGAGATTGATTCAATCATTAATAAACTTCCAAAAAAGAAAGAACCCCTCAGGCCCAAAAGGGTTCACTGGTGAGTTCTGAGCAAGGATTAAAGGAAGACATTTATAATTCTCTAAATTTTCTCTCAGAATATTAATGTAGGGAAAATACCTCCTAACTTATTCTAAGCCCAGCACTGCTATAACATCAAAACCAGATGAAGACATTTTAACAGAGGACAATCACAGCCAATGTTTTTCATGAATATAGAGGCATAAGTCCTAAACTTATATTAGCCAATTGAATGAAAAGAAGTGTCCACTGAAGGCAAGTTGAATTTATTCCAGATATTCAAAGCTGACTCAACATTTTTAATGATTTAGTGAAGTTCACATACCAACAACATAAGAAAATCATGACAGTATTAATTGATGGAGAAAATCATTTGACAATACCCATTCCTAATTGAAAACAAATTTAGCAAACTCCAGGGATAAAAGGAAACTTTCTCAGCTTCAAGAACTTATACCAAAACTGGTAGCTTAACATCATACTGAATGGAGAAACAATGCCTTCCCCATAAGAAAGTGCCCTGTTCCCACTTCTATTCACATTCCTATTGAGAGTCTTAGCTAATGTAGTAAGTCAGGGGAAAGAAATAAAAAGAATATAGATTAGTAAAGATGATATAAAACTATCTTTGGTTACAGATGACATGATTATCTATTTAGAAAATAGAAAAAGAATTAAAGAGGATCTCCTGGAATTAATAAGCAATTACAGCAATTAATAAGCAATTAATACAAGGTATTAACCTTGTATCCTACATATGTCAGTTGCTTTCCTATGTACCAGCAATGAAAAAGTGGAATCTAAAATCAAATCACATTACCATTTATATCAGCAGGGCCTCAGAACTAAATGCTAGTTATAAACCAAAATATGATGTAACAAATTACATACAGTGGCTCTATGAGGAAAACCATAAAACTGGTAAAAGAAAATAAAGAAGAGCTAAGTATAAGTGGAGTGAGATTTAATGTTCCTTTATGGCAAGACTCAAAATTATTAAGACATCATTTATTGCCAACTTGATCTATAGATACAATGCAATCCCAGTCAAAATTTCAGAAGATTATTTTGTGACTCCCTGCTTCTAATTTTACATGGAGAGACCAAAGACCCAGAGTAGTTAACACACTATGGGAGAAGTAGAACAGAGCTGGCGGGCTGAGACTACACGACTTCAAGTTTTACTAGGAAGCTGTAGTATATGGGACAGAGGGGTGCTGGCAAAAGAACAAATAGATCTTTGAGAAAGAATAGAGAGCCCAGGGATAGACCCACATATATATAGTCAACTGATTCTGGCGAGGGAGCAAAGGACAAACATAGTCAGCTCAACAAGGAATGTCAACTGTATATCTGTATCTATATATACTAAAAAATGAATCTAAGAAAAAAATTAACTTTAAATGTATCATAGAACTAAGTGTGACTCATTCAAACTCATTGAATATAAAATTCAACTTTATATAACTTAGGAAGTAAGATAGGAGAAAATTTGGGTGATCTCAGGGACTTGATGACGACATTTTAGATACAACACCAAAGACGTAATTCTTGAAAGGCATTGTTGTAATTTGGATCTAATAAAAATTTTGTTCTGTGATGGGTATTATAATGAAAAGGCAATCAACACACTGGGGGGTGATCTTTGCATATCACCTATCTGATAAAGGTTATGTATCCAAAATATACAAAGAAATTTTAAAGTAAAAAGCCCAGTTGAACAGTGGACAAAAGACACAGATACCTCATCAAAGGAAATGCACAGAGGGTGAAAAAGCATAGGAAAAGATGCTCCCCAGCCTCTGTTATCAGGAAAATCAAAATAAAACGAAAAGACTCAACTATGCACCTATTAGAATGGCTGTAATCTGGAGTACAGACAATGCCAAGTGCTGGTGAGGATGCAGGGCAGGCCCGCAGGAACTCTCCCCTCACCGTGGTGGCAATGCACAGTGGCACGTTCACTTTGGAAGACAGTTTGGCAGTTTATAAATAAGATAAATATACTGTTACCCTGTGATCTAGCAATCTCCCTCCTAGGTATTTACCCAAATGAGCTGAAAACACACAAACTTGCACGTGAATGTGTTTAGCAGTTTTATACTTGTTTTGTCAAAACTTGGAAGCAACCAAGATACCCTTTCATAGTTGAATGCATAAATAAAATGTGGCAATCCAGATGGTGTAATGTAATTCAGTGATAAAAAGAAATGAACCGTGAAACCATGAAAAGACACAGGAACCTCCATTGCACGCTACCGAGTGGAAGAAGCAACTATGAAAAGGCTACACACTGTTTGATTCCAACTCAGTGCTATTCTGGAAAAGGCAAAATTATGGAGACAATAAAAACATCAGTGGTTGCCAGGGACTGGAGGGAGGGGGATGAATAAGTGAATCCTGGGAGATCTTGGGATGAATGAAACTATGCTATTCTACGATTGCGGATATGTGAAGGTACATTTGTCAGAATCCATAGACTGCGCATTACCCAATAGATCTGAGTGTAAACTGGGGACTCAAGGTAATAATAATATATCAGTTTTGGTTCATTAATATAGCAAATACACCAAATGCTAAAGCAAGATGCTAGTAATTGGAGGGAACCGTGTGCATGTGTGCGCATGCGTGTGTGTAGTGGGGAGTATTGGGGAGTGGTGGGGAGTAGTGATTCTGCTCAATTTACCTATAAAATTTCAGCCCTAAAAATTGAGAAATCTTGATATCACTTAAATATAGAATGTTCTTTGTTTCACAAAAGATTCTTTTAGAAAGAAAGGAAGGTGTTGAGGGGATTAATTTTTAGTGTGATGGTTCTGAATATTGGTGGTGGGTGGTTGAAATATATATACTTACCTAAAGTCCGTGAAGCTGTACTCCTAAAATTATGTAGTATTGTAAACCAGTACTAAAGCAATGAAGTTTGATTTAAATGGGGAAAAAAGAAGAGAAGGAAAAGGAGGAGGAGCAGGGAGAGGGAAGGAGGAGAGCATAGGAAGGATAGAAGGAAGAAGAGAAAAGATGAAGCAAGGAAGGAAGGAAAGAAAGGGAGGGAGTGGTGGAGAGAGAATAGAGGAATAGAATTGCTCATCCGAACCTTGGCATTGCCCATCTTATGTGTTGATGGTGGGCTGTTGCCAGTCAGACAGGAGACTCCCTATGAAGAACTTGCACCCACAGTGTACAGCCAGCATTCAGTGTTGTCATGTTCTGCTTGTGCACAGTGGTATCTGATTGTTTCAATTTTGGTCTCCTTGATGACCCTTGATGACCCTCTTTCCATAGCCATTAGCCACCTATATGCCTTCTTCGGTGAAGTGTCTAAATCGTTTGCCCTCTGTTTAGTTGGGTTATTTATTTTTTATTGCTGGGTTTTCTTACTGTATATTTTGAATATAAACCTGTCATCAGGTAAGTAGTCTACAGGTTTTCCCGGAGTCCTCAGAAGCCAGGACCCCTGGGTGGTGGTATCTGCCTCCATCTCCCTCTCCTAGCAGTAAGCCTAGATCATAAGCACACCCTAGGGCAGCTGGGGAAGCCAAGCCACGCTTGATAAAACTCTCAAACCCATCCCACCCACCCAGGCTGCAGTCACTGGACTGCACTTTGTTGGTGTGGATTCAGTGCCCGATCCCACCACAGGAACAGCAAGCCCCTCTGCAGAATGTTCCTGCCTCGTCTGCCCTGGTGTGGCTCACACACAATAACCTGAGTCTGCTCTCACCCAGGCTCAGAAGTGCATCTCCTCCTACCTCAGCACGTTGGCGGATTTTGCCATCGAGATGTTTGACGTCCTGGATGAGATCAACTATCAGTCCTACAACGACTTTGTGCTCAGAGTCGGTATGTGTCCCACACCTCCCTGGAGCTGTGCCTGGGCCCTCCCTGCTAGGAGCAGCAGTCAGAGGAAGGAGGGTGTGCCCCAGAGGAGTGCATGCGGGTGCAGGACAAGAGCTGCTGTAGATGGGGTGCCAGTGACTTAGGAACGGGGAGGGCTACTGCCCAGCTCCTGAGGTACACACAGAACCTTGGTGGTGTAAGTGACTTCCAGATGCATCTGAGTCCATGAGCTGGAGGCAAGTGCTGCCCCCAAACATGGGAGTCTGCCCTCACCCACCCTCCACCCCAGAAACCCAGACAGAGTCTCCCAGGAGCCCAGCTGCGGGGCCCAGGCTTTCACCTCCTCCTCTTTTCCCTGCCCTGTGAGGAGGGAGACGTTGGAAGCCCAAGTTTCTTTCTAGCCTTTACAAGGCTGTAGGGTATATTTTTAAATTTTAACTCCACTTTTGTTTTTCTGGGAGGTAGGTAGTTTACCAGAAAAAAATCCTATTAGCTTAAGATAAAGTTAAGCTAGAGCTTTCCCCTCCCTCATTTCCTTCCCTTCATCCTCCCTTCTCTTCTTCTAGTCTAGGATATTTATAAACTAAAGATTTAAATGCATGTACTTATGGTTGATTATAGTTGTGTTATGAGTATGCAGAGTGAGAGGTAACCCTGGGACCCCCAAACCTGCTTGGTGTAAAGAGCTGCCATCCACTGCATAGAGACAAAGCATACTCTTCATGCAAAATATCTAACAGAATTCTGTGCATAGAGAGAAGAGATGAAAGAAGAATAGTTGCCCAATAAAACACCCCAAATTAGCTAATCTCTAGTGGGTAAATGCCCAGCCATACAGTTTTGACCCAAAGCAGGGCCACTTTCTAGCAGGGGACCGCAGGAAAGGAATAGAAGGAGCCAGGAAAGGAACAAAATCAAAGCACACAAATCGAGATAAAAGTTGCCATTGGCAGCTTCCCCATGTACCTCTCAGTTATGTATTTCTCCCATGTCCCCCAAGTCCCTGGTCTGAGAAGCAAGCCCCAGAATTCCCCTATGACTCTGCTCCACATGTTTCCTCCTGTGTCTTCCTGTGTCTGTTCTCCAGGTGTTCTACATTGTCACCTGGCCACTCCACTCTGCCCCTCCTGAGGTGGGACAGGGAATATGGCGCCTCCCCCTTTCATGGAGATTATTCTAGCAGTTTTAAAGTTCAGACATCGAGTGTCCTTACAAAAAGACCTGAGACCAGGGTTTGAACAGGTGCTTATGAGGATGGACAGAATAGTGAGGCTGCTGGGTGGAGCAAAACTCTTGTCCCCAGTCACCTCAGCATTCAGGCTGCCTCCGCAGTGCTTCACTTGCAGGGTAGTAGATATAGCGGATGCAACAGGAGACAGGTGAAGGGCCCCTCTGGGAAATTCCATTCCTTGCTCTCTCACAGGAACCCTGAAGACCAGTCCTACCTCTGTACCTGGTCAGTACTTGGGGCCTGGATGCATGTGCCGAGAGCCCCCCACCCCCCCGAGCGGAGTGGCTCAGTCTCATCTATCTGGGCACAAGCATCAAGGTTAACGGGGGCTCCCATGGTGCTTTCCCCAGCTCACACCACTGATTTCTGCCCCCAGCCTTCTCCCATTTCATACCAGCACCCCACTGTCTAGACTTTGGGGATTAATTAGGCCAGTGGCTGAAATGTCATTAACACCTTTAAGTTCAGAAAAACACATGGGTGGAGTGCAGAAGGGGAAGGTGCGATGTGGGCTCACTGAGACAGAAAGCCCAGTCACCAGGTAGGGCCTTAAAGACTGAATTTAGAGCACCCTGAGGTGCCCTGGCCTCTTCTCGGGTCCATGCCTTAAAAGGCTCATAGAACTATGGGTGCTTTGGGGGTGGGAAATTATGGTCATTACATCTGAGGGGCGGGATCCTGTATTGTGAAAAATCAAGCAAGGATGTAAAATAATGATGTCTCACTTATAGTAGTAATAGTGATAATAACAACAATAATAATTTCCCTGCATCCAGGGAAATAGGAGTTATTGTTCTTTCTGGAACCATCTGGAAACATAAGGTGATCTGTAGAATGAACAGTTAGACACATGCTCGGCATGGGGCCACTGATTCAGGAAATGGGACTTTTTTCTCTCGATCATTCTTATCAGTGGTGCCACGTGCTGGGAACTGTGGTGTCCCTGCTTCAGGAAGGAGCACTGTGCGCATGGAGCAACTCCCCTAGGAAGCTTTCCCCAGTAACGATATGCTCCATCATGGCTGTCTTACAGGCATCAACGTAGGCCCGGTGGTGGCCGGAGTGATTGGCGCTCGCAGACCTCAGTACGACATCTGGGGAAACACGGTCAACGTGGCCAGTCGGATGGACAGCACTGGCGTCCAGGGCAGAATCCAGGTCAGCTCATTCAGAAGTCCCCCAGGTATAGGTGCCTGGGCTGCAGGCGGGAGACTGAGGTGGAAGAAGCAAAGGGATTTGCTTCAGTCCCTGGTCAGGATTGGGCCAGCTGCCCAGCCCACAGCCCTGCACCCTGCCGGCCTCTTCTTCGTGGGGGTGTGAGGCTGCATGACTCGTGTGTCTGCCACCTGGGGGTAGCGTTGGAGCCCAGCGGCTGTATTTGTGCTTTGGTTTGCTCCATGGCCACCAAGTGACATAAAGCAGAGTCAAGGAACAGGATGAGTGATGGGGCCCTGTCAGCCTCCAGCATCCCAGGATCTGCCCCATAGCCCCACTGCCTCAGAATAGAACGGGTTTCCTCGGTACTGGAAGGGCAGTGTGTTATGAAGGCCGCCTGACCTAGGTGCTGTGGGCAGATCCCTTGGGATGTGGCCTGGGCTGTGCCCTCCAGGTAACAGTGATTGCTGCTTTTCGTCAGCATGTGGGCTGCGTCCAGCTAGCGGCAGTGCCTTAGAACAAAAGTGGAACCTGTCAGCCGGGCTGGCCGGCATGCCCCTGAGCCCTAAGGCCTCTGGTGTTAGGAGGCAAGGTATCTGCTCCTGTATGTGGCTACGGCTGGCCTCTGGGGTTCACGGGGGTGAGGGAGAGCGAGGTTTCCTCCAGCTGTGGCTGGATCTCGGAGCAGGTGTCTCTCTGAGGACGCCATACTCAGAGCTGCTGTTACTGAGCTGCTGTTACTGAGTGGCTGGGCCTTCCACAGTGCCCTGAGGATCCCCAGAGTCACCCTCCCAGCACTTGGTCAGGTCTCTGTGTTGCTCTCTAATCCATCACTTGAAATATTCATGGAGTTCTCCTGCTTAGAACACAGCCAGGTCTTTGCATCTTGCACGTCAGATCTTGCACTTCTGCTTTTTTATTTCCTTTTACTGTGGTGAGATTTCCGTAACGTCACGACCTTGGCTGTTTTCACGTGGACAGTCTAGGGCACAGAGTGGCCCCACGTGCTCCCTCCCAGAAAGCTGTGTTCTTTTCCTCATGTGCACTTTCCTCCACGCTCCTCAAAGCCACCCCTGGGACTGGTAACATCACTGGGGAGATGCTGACAGAAACCCTGGCCACTCTGCAGCCTGGCTGTTGTCCCACACCAGTGTCACATTTCTGCATTTCTAAAATCAGACCTGAGCCAGCTTGTCTTCTGCTTCGCTGGGGCCCCTGGGCTGACTGTGCACTGGGTCTCCTCCCCTGGCGACCCCTACCTTTCCACTGCGGGACTGCCCCTGCGGCCCTGTCAGGCCTCAGTCCTTTGGAGCTCCCCTGCCGATCCCCCCTCACCTGCTCAGACTCCCCTGCGTCACTGCAGAGGCCCCCCTTCCACAGCTGGCCCCCTGGGGGCTACTTCCTTTCTCAAAGCATTGAAATCCCCCACCTGTGCAACGTCTCTGTAGAGAACACAGACAATTCATCAGGGTGTTTCCCTCGGCTCTGTGAACCACAGCTCTGTGTACTGCCAACCTGGAGCTCCTACAAACCCGGTGGCCTCCTCAGGAAGCTCAAGGTGGGCACAGAATTCTTCCCCTAGCCACCACCTTCTAGCACAAAGCACTGTTGCTCCTTCCTCCATTTTATCGCCCACTCTTGCCATCCTCTTCACTTTCTCCTGTTTTAGGGAGAAACGTGTTCCAGTGTCACATGGAACTGGGTACTGGGTCTTTCTGGGGTACTGGGTCACAGCCTAGGAGAGACCCTTCCTCCCTTTGCTGACCCAAACTGAGCATTCATTTCTTTCCATGAAGAAGTGAATAACAAAGTTTGGTGTCCAGGTCTCTTACTTTTCCTCTGAAAGTAAAATTTAATCAGGGATTAATTCTATTTCATCAGCCCTCTGCTGGGAGCTTGCTTTCATTTGTGACAAATTCAAAACAAAGGAGGACCTCCCCTCCACACACACTCACACGTACACACCTGCTGTGCCAGGAAGGACAGACAAAGTTCTATGTAGACTGAAGTCCCCAGGACATGTTGGGTCCCTGGGAGTAAGTTGGCCAAAGATGGTTGACCTCAGTGACACTCAGCCCTACCTCAGCCAGCCCCTCGGGGACTGAGAGCCGCCTCCCTGGAGGCCCATGCTCTTAGAGTGAGGTTGACAAGCCTGACTGATGGGTTCTTTCCTACCAGCTGAGGCCAGGCAGAGTCTAAGGAAAGTGCCCAGCACCTCTGTGGGAACACGGGGAATGGTTCTGGCAGACAGCCACGGACTAGACTTCCAGGGACCCCTGTGGACCTCATCTCAGGCTTTTGCCCACTGACCTTCTCCAGGACCCAGGGAAGCAACACACGGTCCCAATTCAAGCCTGAGACACATGACTTCAAAGCTCAAGACTGAGACACATGGGGATGGCTCCCTCACGGACCATACTGAAATAGAGCTGACTTGATAGATTTTGCTCCTTTACCCTATTCCAATGTATACCTAAAAACAGAAAGAACCCCAAATTATTTTGATTTTGCATGTAGGAGAACTAACTTACTGGCCAGACATGTAGGATGAGAGGATTCACCAGAGGTAGAACAGGAACAGGTTGATTCACTGAAATACACTGCTAGGGAGAGCAGCAGATGAGCTGGAGGACAGCTGGGCCGTGTGGGTGGGACATGGCCGTGATCCCACTCAGGACCAGAGTGAGAACACTGAGATGTGACCACTAAGCCACCAGGAAACCTGAAGGCCCCAAATTTACATATAGGATGCATCCTCTCTCTCTGTATAGTTGGGCAGACCCTAGAGACACTACTTGGTCCTTCCTGGTTCCTTACCTGGGGCCCCCCCAGGCAGGACTAGGAACAGGGGCAGAGGCCTGAGGGGCAGCAGGGGTGAGGGCATGGGCTTGGGTAGTTCATCTACTGGTTTCTCTGGGGAGTGGATGTTTTGCAAGTCCATGGAGAAAAGGAGGGCAGGCCGTGTGCATGGGCGCAAAGAGTAGACAACTTGGCTCAATCAAATGGGCTTTATTATTATTTGTAAAACAAAGAACAGAAACCTACAGAAACTAAATAAAATCAAACTTGAAATAAAACCACATACTTTAAACTAAAGGGGAAGGGTCAGGTGTCCCTGGAGGTGAGGTGGAACTTAAACCCTGGAGGCGAGGTGGGAAGGGAGTGAGGAGAACTTTGGAGCAGCAGGGGCACAGAAAAGATGGGGACTGGGGCCTGGGTCCCATGAGGGGTGCTGGCAGATGAACCCCAGTCATTATTGGTTCCTCACAGTGCTGATTACTAGGAAGGGCACCCCCACTCAAACTTGGAGGATGGGGGCCCGGGACTGAGCCCCCTGGAGGCCTGCTGTGAGCTCAGGCCCCAAATGGGCTGCATTTCCCTGGCTAGCACCTGACTCCCCTAGCTGGGCAGGGATTATTGCAGCAGCCTGAGGAGCTGGGCCTGGGCCTGCCTCCCCCAGCGGGGGTGGGGTGAGCTCAGCACCATGCCCAAGGGGTGCAGCAACCTGGCCAGGGTTCGGGTCTCCCTGCAGCACAAAGAATTCTGTACGATTCTTTTCTTGCCTGAGCTTCCCCTGGAGGGGTGGTGGGAGCTCACACCCAGCAGGCTCTCCTGAAGCTTGTAGGTCCTCACCTGGCCCCCCCCAGATGGACGCCATGAGCTCAACACAGTGGGGACCTCCATCGGGACCAAGGCTGGCATCAAGTTGAATCTGGACGGTGGCAGTGGGCACAGGGCCCCCACCAGCACCTGCAGCACCCTGGGTGTTTTGTTTTTGGCCCAGCATGGCTGCAGGGTGCTCCTGTGTCCCCGGAACTGCATATGCTGGAGCCCAAGCTCCAGTCCCATCAGGTCCCGCGGTGTGCTCTGATGTTAATTCAGCTACTTGGCTGGGCTCCTGGCCTGTGCAGCCAGCCTCAGTGGGGGCTCGCCGAACTCCCTGAGCTGCAAATGCAACAGGAAAAGCATCAGCTACAACCTTTCTTTGCAAAGAGACCAAAGCCCTGAGAACAGATCCACACACCCCGCCCCCGCCCCAGGCAGTGTCACTCAGGAGTTGCTAGGTCAGACTGCTCGCGGTCACACCCAGCCCAGGTTGTCTTCTCCCAGGGGATAGGTACCTACCCACCTAGGGGGGCCTGGGCTCACCCCAGGTCACTCACCCTTGGACATTTCTTCCAGGTGGTTCTCATACTCCAGCCCGGACCTTTGGAGCTGCACTTCAATGATAAATATTGGGGGGCTTTTGAACAGGGACCTGGTGCCAGGAGGGGTGTCGCACAGGGGGAAGGAAGGAGGGAGGCTCAAATATGCTCTGTGGTCCTCTTCACCTGCCTCGGATCGCATCAAACTCTGGAAGCAAACAGACACACCTGCAGGGTGAGCTCCACCTGAGGTCAGAGGGCAGCCTTGTTTCCAGGTTCCCACTAGCCAGGCTGGTCCTGTGTGACCAAGACCCTCCTCCTGCGAGGGAAAGCCTGTCCTCCAATGAACACACTCTCACACTCTCAACTTACAGGCTCACACGCTCAAACTACACACAGGCACACCTCAAATGCAGGGGAAGAGGGTGGGGGCCTGGAGACCTGGGACCCTGCCCCTCCATGTCTCCAGGGCCCCCTAGTTACCTTAGGGGTGACACTGGTTGCAGACCGCCTACACACTCTCCCGATGTGCTGGAGCAGCGTGTAGCAAAATTTCCTGCAAGTATTTGTGGGCCTCCTCCCTAGGGACCTGGGGAGACAACAAAACATGGTGTCTGCCCAGGCTGTCTAGAAAAGTGAGCTGGTCAGTTTGGGTTCCGACCCTCGTAGCCGGGTGACCGAGTTCCGAGTCCCATTGTGTGTCAGTCATGCTGATGATGTCACTTCCTGGGCTCCTCAGGACTTCACTTCCTGTGCAGATCAGACCCCTCCATGGCTGCTTGGGCTACTTCCTGTTCCCCTCCATGTCATGCCTTGTCTACACACCAACACCAGTGCTCCCCAAAATCCATGGAGGATGCAGGGCTGCCGTGGGGTGTAGGGGTTCCCACCTCTAACCTGGCTTGGCCCTCTAGTCAGGGAGGAGACCCTGGAGCATCATTTTCTCTGCATTCGTGTCTCCCATGGACTCACAGGGGCTGTGAGCCTCTCCCTAGGGATTCCTCTGAGTTGGGCCCATGGTCTTCTTCACAAGATGTGGAGGGCCCAATCTAGGGTGCATCAGTACACCCCTCACCCAGGCCAGGCCGGCTCTGCCGTGAGCTGAGCCATCTCCTTACTGTGTCTATCCTCCTGGGAAAGTGATAATGCTGGACTCACCCCTGCACCCCTCTAGCCACACCTTGTGGGGTCCCGTTGAGCTTGAATAATGTGACAGGCTACAGACAGTGTGCATGTGCTGGCCATGAAGTTCTCTGGGTGCTGGTCCTGCTCACAAACCTGCTGACCTAGAACTGAGGAGTGTATGGACCTGTGGACAGGATCTGATCAGTATGATGAGGCCTTGGGCATGGGTGTCCACATCAGGAATGTCTGATGCCAGTGCGACATATTTGTCTCTTCCCTGAGCCTTTTAACAGGCTCATCTGTGGCTAAGTATCCAGCAGGAGTTTTGGGGTGCACCAAGCCCTGCTGAGGAATAAGTGTGGTGGAGGCTGTGCAACGCCAACCTGGTGTGACCTTGATTAGGTCTCTGGGGCTTGGGAGATGGCCAGCTGTACCCTGGGGAGTTTGGGCACTCCCCCTTTTTCTATACCACCTGAACCTCTGTGAGGTTGATTTTTAGCATGGAGCTGCCCAAGACCCACTTCTAGCCAACAGATGGCATCCCAAGAAGTAGGCACGAGCCTGAGGGCAAACTGAACTAGTCCACCAGCTCCAGTGAGAGTCTGGGTGTGGCAAGTGGGCCCCTCCCCATAAGCACCCCGAATGCCAGAGTCCTTTCTAGTGTGTGGGTGGCCTCTTTCCAAAACCCCAAGC